TTTGCAACATTTATCAATATTCCCTTTGACAAATCGCCGACAAAGCACCGCTTGCAGATCTTTTGTTCTATAATTGTTAATGCAAACACCGACCCTAGTAGTAATTAGTAACGTCGCTAGTACATATGAACGGTCGTCATTGCAAATCGAACATCCTTTTGAAATTTGGACGTCGGGCAGGCGATTTCAAGGCACCGCACTTAAATATTAGCAACATATTTTTCTGAGCGGTTGTTTATTCTCTTTCAAACGAGACATAAATGTGACGACATAGTCGATCCCTTATCCACCGCTAAGAATGCCGCAATGTTTCGTTCGTTTTGCAACATGCCACAAATCGTCGAAAAAAACACCACTTCGACGGAAGCTTGCGTAAATAAGGGGGTTAAAACAAGAAAACAAATGCCATGTTTAATACATATCGACCTGTTTTACTTGCGAAAGATAACGGAACATGAACTCGTTTCGTGCGACTTCGGAACCCGAAGGAACACACCAACAACGTTGAATTTACCCGCTATCTTCCAAATATGGTATATTAATTTATTCAGTTGTTTATTTAGAGTGACGTCCGCGGTCGAATGCGATTGGCTATCGATGTCAGTGCAAAGGTCATATGAATATTAAAATTAAGTGGGCGGAAGGAAAATTGTATAGGAGACAAGCTGGAGTCTCGTGTGGCGATAGCGATAACACCGGGACGAATGGTCTGGGGTAGCAGAGTTCAGGATTCCATAATGAAAGCAGTCAATGTACAGGATACTCACTAGACCACACCTTGGTTCTGAACAAATTCTACCTAAACTTAACAAGCTGACAAAATGAACCTCCTTTCAGGGTTTCTGATAAGACTCTTAGATCTATGTCACGCCTTCCATCGGGAATGTTTGCCGGTTATTCAACTTTAACATTACTATTATTAATATCATTAACAGGTCTAAGTCTAGCTTTGGCAACCAAACAGCATCGTTTTGATGGTATAGATTACTCATATTGACGGCAGACATGATTAAATCTGAGAACTTTCAGAAATTTGAAGACTTTCCTACCCCAGGGCTTGTGAATGCAAGTTCAAAATCTCCATGAAAACCATATATCAACATTTTGCAAACATTGTGATGCTAGTTGCCATTTTGGATGAAAGGCACTAAGCAATAGCAGCAGTCTTCTTGGAAATATTCTATCAATGGCGTCATTTATGTGCAAAATGCATCACATACTTACAAGACTAGCGATGCATGACATAAACTTCAGAAAGCCTTGGGTAAATAAATAATGAACCATTGTCCTGTTATACACATGCATACATGTATATAGCATGTTTCAAATTACATCACTAGGGTTTACATAATGTGATTAATTATTCATAAAGATGTTGAACGATATTTTAGTATTAACAAATTACTTTCAGTCCAGTTAGACTTTAAATATACCATGAATATTTACATTTGAGATATAATTTTTGGTATGTGTTGGTTATTGGATATTTCAGCTTCGTCGTCCTGGCCTTTGTTTAGTAATTCGGACTTCCCAGATTGCATAAAAACAGATAGTTTAGCGATTTTGACACGGAAAATGTCTGGGCAGCTTAATCATTTGCTGAATGACTGCCACTTAGGTGTGTGCACTCTAGCTTACAGTGCATCAACCTAAAAGCGTAACATTGTACTAAAGTACATAAAGAACATTCAAGGTCTTCATTTTTTCACAGCATAAAAGCAGTTTTCACCTTCAAAAGTGAGTAATTTCCATTCCCCTCAAAGGTAAACAATGGTTTAGTCCCCTATTTTACGCTACGACTCGTAACAGTTTTTATGCTTCACATGTTTATTTGCCTTCAATTACGTTTCAGTGGTCGTCACTGTCTTGCCAATAACATTTTGGTTTCAATTTATGTAGCTATTGCTGAGAAATTTCAAAAAATCATGTTTGTGTCAACTAACAAGCGGAAAATCAAATTAGCATTACAATGCGTTTGACCTTTGTCACCATTTTAGTTTTCCTTGACTCTTTTCCCAGCTCCTAAGGATGGTATTCTCAGATTAACACCAGTTGTTAATGACACAATAAACATTAATTCTCACTCTGATGAATGAACTAATATTTTGTAAACAGCTTTTCCAAAAAGCACTATATACCTTTTTACCTATTTTTTACATTCAACTCATCAAGAATCAGTGAAAATAAACTCCATACAAAACAAATTAATTCCAGCTAAAATAAAGTATGTTACAGTAGTATATTGCAATACTGCTTGATGATGGCTTTTTCTTTGGCAGTAATACAATGCACTATTGTCATTATGCAGACAATGAACTGGTGATAATTTATTATAGCGCACACCATAGTGGTCCGAATAATGGCTAGGTACAACATCAATCATGTTCACTGGGCACAAATAAACACTGTCAGAAAATGTTCATTAAATCTAATTAAGTGTTACTGAAATCCAAAAAAGGTGGACACGACTTCCGATTTGCTACAACCTGACGATGTCGTCGCATCGCAACTGTCAACATAAGTCAAGTTAAACAAGTCACAAATAAATATTGACACTTAGTAATGTCGCACAAATGTTAGTGGGAGCTTAACTGTAGTATCAGATATTAAACTGTTTATGTACAAAATAAGTTTCTTAAATAGTATTTCACGAATGAATAAAATCCAAACTCACGTAACTTCCATGCTCTCTTCGTGGCCGCCATTTTTATATCTTACTTCGGGACAGCTCGGTCACAGGGAAATTGTTATATTTGATGTGTTTGGGTGGATTAGATGAAGATCTGACAACCCCCTTCCGCGATTTGTTTATGTAAGAACACTACATAAGAAGCGTGTTGGTTCTTCCCAACGTATTTGCCAAAAAGTGCGATGAACAAGCACTGTAAGTATTTCAGCCACTTTTCGTACACCCAATTCCTAGGGTACTATGAGACATCGCTTCCAATTGGTCAATTGTCCGATACTATTTTTGTCTTTATTTATTACATTTACCAAAGAACAAAACAAAATGCAATTTTATTCTAGATTAATGTTCAAACGGTTCAAATTAATTTAATGGTGGTACTTATGATGAATTCGTCAACATTCTGGAGGGGTTTTATAAAAATTCAATAGTTCTGAGGGTCCAATCAAAGACTACGTTACATATTACCTCCATAACTTATTGCGCATGTTCAGAATTTATTACTTCCGGAGACTGAGAGAGTCAAAGTTGACAAAAACAAAATAGGCGGATGCGAGGCGCGTTTCAGTTGATGATGATTCGCTGGAAATTGACAAGTGTTGCCAAGCAACACGTTCGCTGCTTGCATTATATACAGGGTCAAGAACCTTCTCCAACAATTCGAGAATATTTCTACTATATCGACCATCAAGGACAGGTAACACAATCTCACGTTTTTCATCATTTAGGGATGAACCATTTTAAGAGTGAGAGTGGAGGAGAAAATTTATAATTTCAAATTTCGTATTTCTTGTTGTTCGCTGTCATTGTTTTAATTGAATAAATTACCAGTGGATGTTTATGATTAATTTGAAAACAAAATTAAAAAACTGTAAGGCTTAAACTTCACTGTTGTACAATTAGGAATACATGTAATATCAGAGATACATTACTTGGGGTTTGCAACGCGCATAGTACTGTATAGTGACATCATGTCAAGTTCCTTTTCAGGTCTCATCTCGTAGATAGCGAGACTGATGCTACGACCTTCTGAGATGACATGACATAGGCAGTTTGTAATAAAACAATATAACATGTATTATCACATTCATAGTAAAAAAATGTAATACATCGAAAATGTACAGAAAATATAGTTATCGTAATCCGTCATATCGTGAGCAGCTATTTTGATCCACCTGGACATCTCTGTATCCTAGTTACCTCAGGCATGCGCATTCAAATTTTTCTGAGTTGGAACGCTTATGCGAGAGCAATATTGAAACGGGATCTTGGTATCATGTCACCGTAGTTGCAAACCCCAAGTAATGTACCTCTGGTAATATGTATTTTTAGAAAAGCATGAAGGCAAACTCAACGAGGTGTCTCTGTGAACTTCAAGAACTGAAATGACATATGTGTTTTGTGGATAGAGTCCAGTAAAACATTACTGGGAACAACATCCATGGATAATAAAATGAGTGTATTCAACACCTTAACTATTAAATAAAAAATAAAAAAGTTATGCTACTCTGAAATAAGCAAAGAAAGTTACTCATTATAGTAGTGTGTACATAGGCTCATAAGCTATTCTAGTTTCTTTCTGATTTAGACAGTGTTTAGCAGAATGGAAGGAGGCACATGCTTACCCAATCTGATTGTTCTCTTTAGATTTGAATGAGTTTATAAATTTGTATATTTATGCCTGTGCAAGTGTATCATCAATGGTTTATAAGATGAGGGTAACCATTGGTGTGATATGGTGATGAAAATCCAATTGAAAGTCACACAATTTGCAAGATGATCACAAAACATTATTTTTCCAGAAATACTAAGTGAATCTGTGTAAAAAAGCACTGGTGTACATCTCAGGGTGTTTGTCAGTGTTGATCCTCTCACATTTGAAGAGCATGGCTTGTTTTTGGCTTTTTTAAATAAGACAATGACCTCAATCATGCCTATTTATGTAATACAACTATTCCAAGTGTTCACTGCATTCTGTGATGCCATTGGTAAAAAAAAATGAAATTTTCATTGCCTATCACCATATAAGGATATCCAAGTTCCACACACTTATTTTATAACTCCTTGTCATCATATATATTATCTTATTCCTCAGCTTTTTTTAGATGACACTAAAGTGAAGAATTTCATCACTTGTTTTAAAGGTAATTCATTTTCAAATGTTACATACATGCAATCATTTCAAATTTTTACATACATTTATAAATTTCAAATGATTGTTGATAACAACTTGACCAATCACAATGCCTTAGTAGATATGTACATACTTTCTGTGTAAGAATGTTTGTCAAATACATGGTAGTAAATTAGCAATTTATTTACTATTTACTAGTCTAATTAATGTGTATCTAATTGCTTGTCAGTGGTCTCTACTAAAACTAGAATGATCAATTAACTTTCAGAAAAGAAGTTTTTGGTTTTCTTCTTCAGACAGTTGAAAAAGAACAACACAACACGTTACGTTGAACACTTTCCCTATATCTCACTTTGTGGTGTTGAACGTAACTTTATTCGGTGCGATGATCGTCCAATTGTTTACTCTCACATTGTTGAGAAACCATCACCTGATAATCCAGAAGAAACACATGATGTATTATCATATGAAGGAACTGCAGAAGCACTGACAGTCAAGTTTGAACCTGAGAAATTGTGCATGTTACCTCAAAGTGGGCGTGTCTATCATCCAGCAAAACTAAAAGTAGGTGGAGTTGGATTGATCAAGTCTAGCTTAGCCATTGAAATCAGCAAGCATTTTGAATTTGGATTGGCAGGGGAGTATGCTCCACCAACTCATTTTCACTGGAAAGGGAAGCGCTACACTCTGTCGAATGAACTCTGGAAGCTGATGACAGATGAGGAACGTAAGGAGTTGGCGAATGTGTAAGCCAATTAAATGATTAGTTAGTGTAACTGTCATTCATACTTTTGAGAATTGACCATATTTATGAGGTCACACAATTTTTGGAGTAAAAACTGAAAATTGACTCAGATTTTGTCTTTTGGCTCTAAATTTAGGATTTGAAGAATATAAGAAAAAAAAGCACTGAACAATTTGGGTGAGAAAGTTAATACAGTAGTCCCTTTCAATGTCAGTCACTTTATATTATGTTTTCACAATACAAGAATTAGACTATGAGTATGAACATTATTGACAGATTACATACCGGTATATCAACAAACCTGGTAATATTTACAATGAATTCTTTGAATTTCTTTGCATACCCTTTTAACTTTTAAAAGTCCATGGTGCTTGCAGGACAATGGTTGAATGCAAAGTTTTCCAAATACAAGTGTGTTCACAAATCTTCTAAGTAGGTTTATTTTTCTCTGATTTGTATTGTTTTCAGAATAATTTACAAAAAAAACATTTCAAGCTGTAATTTGTTGTACCTGCGATGTAATAAATGCTGATTGCATTTTGTACAAAAGTGGAACTATTTCTTTACAATTAAAATGTCAGCTAAAATTCAACAATATTTGACTTTGATGAACACATAGTATTTACATGGAATTCTGTATGTTTCAATTGAAACATTGTTATTATATTTTGTCTAATGTGTACACTGTCATTCTTATTTTAGCAGGCCAATTATGGAACCTGCATGCCTAGTTCACCAATCATTTGAATGTTAGCATTATTACATATCTGTGAATATTTGAAATTTTGATTAAATTATTAAATGCAGTGCTTTGAATGTCCCTGCAGTAATCAATTGTATGCTTGATTCTTTGAATTTTATTGTTACCTATTTACATTTTATCTACATGCAGCTTGGATTTGTTTCATGCTTAAAGCGGGGGAGTCACCTGCGCATGCTTCAGATGGGCATAGCACAAGCGTTTGCGTTTGAGCCTATGCATTTTTAACGTGTGTTGTTATCATCGCTTGGGACTCCCGCGAGAGAGTAGGTGACGACCCTCTCGCTTTAATATAGAATAAAATATATATCATGATAAAAAATCAAAGTCGAAGTTCAGTTTTGAAATCCCAGAAGAGCACATTAATCACTGGTGTATTCACATTACGATTACACATGGCTGAAATGTATCCAAGTGAAAATCCTGTTTAGCAAAGCGCTCTGATGTCCAGCTTAGATGCACATTCCAAGATGACAAGCTCTGTTCATTCTCTTAAAAAAAAATTTGTTTCTACTTCCCAAGAAGTAGAAACAATTTTTTTTTTGTTCTCATAGGGGATAATCAAAAAAACATTGTGTGATCTCACTTTAATGTTTGGGCTCATACAACTAAAAGAATTCTTAGGGGGGGTGATAATGTTTGTGTGTTTTAATGATTATGCATTTGGGATGCAGAAAGACGAAATAACATTATATAACAAGGCAATATTCTCCTTGTGTCTCCATGTTGTAGGGTTTCATTAAAAAGTTGTCGTTACTTGAGATGCATCATGGGAGTATCGCCATGTTGTAGGGTTTCATTAAAAAGTAGTCGTTACTTGAGATGCATCATGGGAGTACGTCATTTTGTAGGGTTTCATTAAAAAGTAGTTGTTACTTGAGATGCATCATGGGAGTATTGCTATGTTGTAGGGTTTCATTAAAGTAGTCGTTACTTGAGATGCATCATGGGAGTATCGCCATGTTGTAGTTTCATTAAAGAGTAGTCGTTACTTGAGATGCATCATGGGAGTATTGTCGCTATGTTGTAGGGTTTCATTAAAGAGTAGTCGTTACTTGAGATGCATCATGGGAGTACGTCATTTTGTAGGGTTTCATTAAAAAGTAGTCGTTACTTGAGATGCATCATGGGAGTACGTCATT